ACACCAACCAAAGGCACACTCGGTGCTGATGTCGCACTGCCACTGGCCTCTCCTGGCTGCTCACCAGACTCTTCCTCTTCCTGCGCAGCACTTGTTGCAGCTCCAGAATGCAGACTAATTACACTATTTAGGTACGCATCAAGGGATTCAGGCGAACGCTTCGCTGACTTGCGGAGCTTCGTCTTCGTTTCCTTCAAGCGGTGGAGGCGGAGATGGAATGTTTTTACACTGACGGCTGCTCCCCGCTGAGGAAACAGCCGCAGCACTAGTGTGTGGAGTACATCCGTGCTCAGCTTCTCTGTAGTTTGGAACGCAAGAAGCTCCGACAGCAGTCCGTTGGTGCAGAACGCAGCATCCCGAACACAATCGTAAGATGAGTCCCTTTTTGCTTCTGATTGAAAACTTGCTTTCGCTAATCTACGGAGCAAGGACTTTGGAACGTCGGCACGCTTACAAAATTCGCCTAAAAACGGCTTTTCCTCCGCTGCCGCTTCGCTCTCAGGCTCAGATGGGAGAGCGGGTCCCAATTTCTCTCTTTGCCCAGCCATGCACAAGCTCCTACAAACTCTAGTTCAACTGTTTCCGAATGGGAAGGAGTCGCTGAGAAAGATAGGCAATGTTTCCAAAGCATACTACAACGGCAAGGGCCCGAAAATCTACTTTGTTTTTTATGTGTGGCAGCACGGAAGCTCTAGATCGGCCGCACTATGGCGTGATTGGGATCAAACGAAAGCTTAGGTCATCGCCTGTCGAAATATATCGACTTCCTGTGCCTCCGTACAACGAGAAGGACCTGGTGAAGTAGGCTTCTCCCCCTGGCCCCCGCCACACAACAACGCAAACTCTTGATTGTATCTTCAATACTTATATTATACCAAGAAATGACGAGGGCGCAGGAGGAGAGAGACAAACTTGGACACGACAAAAAGGACAACGGGAAAGACTCCCGGGAAAAGACTCAAAGAAAACAACAAGAACAAGCAGTAATATTGCGACGACAAATCGGGACGACCAATCAGGGACTAATACATACAGAACACATGACCAAGACCAAGACAAGCAGACCAAGGACGAATCACACACGACTCTCATTCCCAGACCAAACTAGCACTGCACATGTACAGCATTCACTTGACAGTCACTCTCACACAGACGGAAGCACATCCTCACACTCTGACAACGCGTACTCTTGCATGCACCACATACCATAAACGTCACACATCACACCATACTCGCGCGTACACCTAGACCATATATGACACCAGACACTGGACTCCACCAGACAAGAACCAAATACAACGACATGCGTAAATCATAGTCGTAACATAAATTCGCAACACTGGTACTTGACACAAGTCAAGCACTGCGACGATACTGTAAATCATATTATTTTAACGACCCGCAAAGTTAACGATTTTCTGATTTTCGAAGGTTTGAAAAGTTAACGATTTTCTCAGACAGATGCAATAATACTAGGAATGCTCGTCAAGGACATTCATTGTTGTCCATCACAGTATACCTCGATGTCAGTAGAATAAAGAAAATGAAATTTATCCTGCGTAAGAGCGTAAACAATTCAAATTTGTCGATCTCCTGCCGCTTCGTCAAAATTCATCTGAGAGACTTCGGAGTTGTTCGAGCCGACTGCTGAGCGTCTCTGCTATCATCTAGATCTTTCGATTGTTGAATTCCGTTGAGAATTGACCGAGTTACGATCCGTTGAACACGCACTGCATGCCATAATGTGAAATGATCGATTTCAATCGTGCGAGGCCCAAATCATACGACTTTTGCTAACGAATTTTAAAATAACGACAAATCTTTGCTCGTTAACTCGTTAGATTTACTTGTTCGTTACATGTTCATGATTTACAGTACCACGCAAGTATGGACAGCGACCTCAGCAAAATCTGACAGCTCGGCTCACGTGACTGAAGTGCCTAGTGGTTGTTTCGATGTATTTTTTTTCAAGTACTAGTAGTTTGTTGGCGGCAAGTAACAGCAGTTAGCTGGTGCACCATTTTTGGTGCATGATGGTAGCCACACCGCCAAAGATATTGCATGTTACCTTGATGAAACTGACTCGTCGACCGTTGTTTGAAAACTATGCGGTGGGAAACTCACACGTCAGAGTGGTACCACGAAATTATTCAACCATTTGAAGACTCGCAGTAAGCTCCAGTACCTTGAAGTGGCAAATGGAAAGCAGGGTCAAGATGCGAGCAAAATGGTAGCTTGAAAGAAGTCAGTGTCGACATTCTTCCGTAGCGACCAGAACATATTTACATGTACTAGTTACAGTTCTAGACGAGATGTCACAGTACTTCCGTTAGCATTCATGACGTATACTGTGTACACAAGTCATTCATGAACTACTATCATGTTCCGGGGACCAGTATCATTTTGATATGTCATACGCATCCAGCATACTCGTTTTATGATAACTCGATCGTTTAAAAGAAACGGTACTCGATAGGAAGAAATGGATGCCCGTTTCATCCCTAGACTATGTGTGGTCACTTTGCGCTGTTTACTAGCATGACTTTTACATGTATATTCATGCAGAAAAGGGCATGTAGTTGCACACTCCTGGAGGTTATTCTCTTGATAATATCAGTGACACTCCTTTAAAAAACAACAATACAAATACACTTGCATGAGGAGTGAATACCCTGAACTGCGGAACGCTACATGGTGCATATGTGGTTATAGAGGTTATGCGAAAGAAAAGTCATAATGACGAGCCAGGGAATTTCGGAACCGGGCATGGGCGCTAAGTATACAGCGGAACCGCTTACGGGGCCCTATGTGTACAAAGTGATTCGCTAGTGTAGCGTTGTGCCACCACTTTACCAAATCAGCTCAACTGATAATGTAATTGCATAACCTCTATACCATATCACATGCACTGTCTCATACGCGGTGTCGTAAAGTCATGCATTCAATGCTAGTGGTCTGAAGCCGCAAGCATTGAATGTCCATTTGAAATCCATCCCAACCTATCCAAAGCCCAAGGAGGTCTTGAGCGTGCCATGCTACTTCATAGTTTATTGAGCTGATGAATCTATGTTGGACTCAGTAGGCAGTCTGGAGTCCAGTATACAGTCTAAGTCTTATAAACAGCCGGATGCTGCACCTATTAGGGCTCTATAAGTAGTCAGATGCCCTGTATGAAGTTCAAGTCCTGCAAGCACCTAGTCTACTTAATGTACTAGTGGGGCAAGCAAGGGGGCTACTTAGAGTATACTGTACAAGTGCACGGCACTTGCTGAATACATGCACTGCGTGCAGTATAATAGCTCATTCATTCAGACTTTATTCGAAGAATTCTCCAAAAGTAAATGGATGCTTATCAGGGGAGTTTTCTGGAAGGGAGGATCAATAAGGATAATGTGTTTGACTGTTTGGGCGTGAATGCACCGGCAAGTACACAGTTCTCTCGTTAGTTGCATGTTAGAGAGAGGACGCAGCGGAGAACAAAGCACAATGTGGACAGTTGGGGTTTTCTCTTTTGCGGTGCTTATGTTCTGCTGTTGGAATTCGAATGCCAAGCCATAATAGTCATTGTTTCGCTCTTCTGTGTACATTTACTGTCAGGAATGTAACCCACATGTAGGACTCCCTTTACAAAGTATGTAAGGGTGCAAGCGAAGGGATTCAAAGCGACATGTTCCAAAGTTTCTGGCGGTTTTCCCCAAACACTATCGTGTGCTAGGAGCGCTTCGCCTCCGATGGTCATCGATGAGGCTCTAGCTTCGTGATCAGGAAACTAAAGCAGTTAGGACTGGTACATACTTGAATGTTTTGAAGCAGAAGTGAAAATTGAACAGTTGAATGGTTCGGTGAAATGTAGGTTGCCACGCGCGAGTCTTTCTTTCCTTGCCGAGAGCAAGCTGGCCTCCACACTCGCAGATTCTGCCTTAGCGTACCAAAATGTCCTTTGACATTAGCTTCAGCTCCTCGAGGGAAAGACTTTCCAAAGCAGCAAAGGTCCAAACTGTTGGTGCAGCTGCTGCTTTTCCGTGAGTGCATTAATTCGGCGTTGATTCACAATTCAAACTATCTTGCACATGTCATGGTTGGTGGGTGAAGAGGGCACATGATCTATCCAAAAATCTCAACTGAGAAAAATCAGACTGCATACTGGAAATATTTTGACTTATTACTGGGAAAATTGTGTGAGTTCGATGGAGTCATAGAAATGAATCATAGAAATATGACTAGATCAAAAGTTTGACTCTCTCCTGGACTTCTGACTGTTTATAGGACTGCCTACTGAGTGCAACATAAGTATACGTATGGAAAGCACCTCGAGACCTATAAGCACTAGTATTATGACAACAATCATGATTTGAGAAGTATGCTTGGAAAGATGAGCGCCAGACCAAGCTAAATGCGTTCCTTTTTTAACCCTTCGAAACCCGGTCAGTCGAATTCTATTCTGGTAAGAGTGAAAGTGTGGCATATTCAAACTATCGTAACTCACTCAAGTGGGGTCTGTTTTTTTACAAATGAGATATTTAGACAGTGGAAAGAGTTGCCGTGTTAATGACCATTGTATTCGACTTGAAAAGTAATGGTATGAAAGGCCTAGTCGAAACTATATGGCTCCTGTGCTTCGTGGAAACAATCACAGCACAACCTTATAAAGTTCTTGGCCACTTCAAACAGATATCTTCCAATTTTCACCCATGAGGACATGAAAGTGGAAAGGCACAGCTGTCGGCTTGAAACATTCCGACCTGTTTACAAGGTTGTATACAACAGTCTCCCACCAGAGCGCCCCATCACTTTGACCCCTTCCTTGAGATGGGGCAGATGAGAGATATCTCCACAGTTCTGTGCAACACAACCCTGGGCTCATCATAATGTGCTTGTTGTTGTTGTTGTTGTTGTTGTTGTTTGTTTATTGTACATTGTACATGAAATTGCTGTTGACATTGCTTGTCTCTGTTTGTTTGTTTGTTTGTTTTTCACGTCTTTTATGTGTTGCCTATCAGATGTAATAATGATGTCCATGAAGAAACGTATCGCAGCCTGTCGAATGTACATCGACAAGAACTCGGCGTACTGGACGATGAGGAGCGACAACTGGATGCCATGCTCAACTTTGCTCAAATAACGTACCGGCAGATGCAGCAGTCCGACGAACGTGCGTATGTGGTCTACGATGACCTGCGTTGCGTGGAGACCTTCAAAGACCAGACCGTAATCATTGTCAAAGCCCCGCCGGAGACTGTCCTGGAGATACCGACCAATCCTGCCACCGAGGTATGCTCCCATGGGTGTCCAATACTTGCGTTACAGTCAAGCTTGCGAATAACGACCCTCGTTCGGCATGAGAAAAGTGTTGTTAGTGGCGGGGTTAAAAGTATGCAGTTGATTGGTTACTAGGCCTGACGATTGTGTCGTTATTCACAAGTTAGTGTTAGGCCTGAGGACAGTCTTCACGAGGTTGACTGTATTGGATTTGGAAAACTTGGCTTTATGTGACATTGGATTGAACGATGTGACTTTTTGTTCTCCTTTTGCCTGTCCGATGGTTGGTGTGTGATGTTGTTACATGTAGCCTCCGAAGACGGTAGTCCTAAAGAGTCGCTCTGGAGTGCCCATAGACGTGTTTGTCTGTCCCGACAACAGCAGTTCCACAACGGAGGGCTTTTCATCGTCATCTCACCCGTCCGGCTCGTCGGGAGAATCCGTAGATGTGGGTGGATCGTCGCCGTTCAATACGGAAGACCCGTGTCCGTTGTCTGACCGCGATACTGGATGTAGTGGCTTGGACGACTCGATCAATCCCCCTCTGCCGGTGGTGAGTAGACATGCGGTATCTGTGCCTCCTGACACTTGAAGCTGTCAATGTTTGCCGCCGGGAAGCGGTTCCAGTTTCGTGTCGTGTCGCTGGGCTAGGGAATGTATGAATTGGCAGGACAGCCGCACATGTCACCGTGTTTACACAAGTGCGGACTGCACATTTTTAGTCTTTGGGATAGATATACTACTCTTGTTCTACTTTCGTGCAGAAATGCTCTGAAGAAAGTTCCATTACGGGATCAGGGTTTTGAGAGAGAATGGTCTTGGCACTGGACTAACTCGGAGAAAACGCGCTGCCGTCAAATGCGCGAGTAGGGGTTAGCAAGTGCAAATACTGCATGTGCCACGTGGGAGGCAAGTTCTGTTTGCTCGGAGAGATGTGATCAAGTGAGTGTGGGAGTATGACTCTCCAAAGTTTAGTAGGACAAATCAGATGAAACATGTGGCGCCTACTCATTCCTATGTCTGTGCCTTCAGGAGACTTACTACACTCAATTTCGCTTATAACGACACTCGGCGGGGCATCAGAAAAGTGTCCTTATTCGCAAAGTGTCGTTATACCCGAAGTCTCATTAGGGAGGTTCCGCTCTACGTAATTACGTATGAAAATCCGTATGTCGTACGCGCCGGGGAGCGAGGGCAGCTTTCATACGTAAATCTCTCTACGGATTTCCGTAGGAAAGCTCTTTCCTACGTTGGGTCCTCCGTAGGGCTTTTTGAAATATGTTTCCGCATTTGTCCATGGCAACGTTCAAGCCGCGCGAAACACAAGGTACACACACCGTACACCACGTGCAAAATAAGATGGAAAACGCGGTTTCGGTTCATGTTGCATGCGGTACAGGGATGATTTTATCCTGTATCGCATCGCAGTTTGCGATGCAAAATCGATCTACTGCTACTCAAAAGTCACCGTGACACGCATGACAACTGCGATACATACAGACTATCCATGCCTAGACTGCGCTGTCAAGCAACATGCATACACTGCAGTGTATGTGGTGCAGGCACTCTCAATCTGCGTGCACATGTATCATTCAGTCGGGTTTTTTGCAAATGGGCTTTCAGGCATCACTCTCACGAAGGACAATGTGGTAAGCACCCAACCTTCAAAGGAAATTGCTAATGAAAATCAAAGACTGCTATACAATTGTGCATTTGCATAGCAGAAACTGCTATGCAAAATATGACAATAAATTCATCCCTGCGGTAGATTATAAAAGCCGAAAAGGTTGTGTTTGGCGGGTACAATCATCGCATACGCAGTAGTACAGTGCGTATCGGTTATAGCGTTGTCGGGTGTAAGTGCATGCAGTGGGCGCACGCAGCCAACGCGTCTCCAAAGCAACAATGCATGTTTAGCAGTCGTGGATAAATCACGTAGAGCGAAACCCAGCAGCTCTGATTTTTACGTATGAAAATTCCGTGCAGTTCATACGTTATTTTCATACGTAATTCCGTAGAGCGAAACCTCCCTATTATATGCAGGGCATGCGCTAAGGATTAAAATGTGCTCTGACACAATGTCCTGCCAGTTGCAAAAATTGCCGGACATGCAAATTTTCACATCAAATCACACAATGTTCAGTGTAGAATTAATACCATCGAAATGTTATCTTGACGATGCATTTCAGAAGCAGCATGATCTTTGAAGGGTGAGGTTTTCAGGTTCCTTGAGCCAACGACGAAGGAGTCAGAAAAATTCTAGCTTCTGCGAATTTTATCAACAAAACGAGAACATATCTTCCACTTCAAATTTTTCGACAACGCTACAATCTGAGGGACTGCGCTCATAGCTCAGCCGAACAGAAGTTGAAAGCTCCCTATCATACCGTATTATCTCTAATATAAGCACAGTCTCCAATAATAGCACGTCTCCAATAATAGAACACCTTGGGGCGGCATTCAAAAAATAAAGTGCTCAGTCTCCATTATAACTTAAGCACACTGTGTAAATTCATTATCTGTACCGGCGAAAAAAAACCCTGAAATGTGTGTGTCATACATGAATTTGGCATGGCAACATGCCTCTGAAATGAGGTTGAAATAATAATGGAACAGTCTCCAATAAAGGAACGTCTCCATTAATAGCACGGGGCGGAGGTACATTGAAAAAATAAAGGACCGTGCTTATATTAGAGATAATACGGTACTCGGCGACCCACTTGTCACAAGTGGTCGTCTTGACTCCTCTAGGCTTCTTTCCAAGAGGAGCACCCGCGTCAGCGGTGCTTGGCTTTCTCTTGCCAGCTATATCACTAATGACTATGAGACAAAGAATTGACGTGCCTTTTCTTTTTTGTACTTTGCAAAAAGTGCGCGGACACTTTGTCCGGATGTGTACAAAACATCCGGAAACTGACCGTAAACGGTCGGAAATTGTCCGATGTCCGACCGTTATTTCGCGCCCTGATATGTATTATGGTTAGATGGGACTTTGCTCCGGGCATTGAAATTCTGTCGTTATTCGCGAATTGTCGTTATATCCGCAGTCGTTATTAGCGAAGTTGACTGTATTATGTGAATGTGTACATGTGTCTGTGTCTGTTCTTTCTCACTGTTCTACAGCACTTCACTGAGCAAGAAATCGAATCATTAGGAATCAAGTGTGAGCAGACCGACATAGATCACCTTAACTCTGCCATGATAAGGTAAGTAAACGCATGCACTGCATTCAGGTAGATTGTGTGGCGGACAGGACTGTACTGTTACTGTATCCTCTCTGTTCCTGTCTCCGTGCTGGCATTGAAAACTCAACTACGCAGACTGGACGCTGTATTTCATCATCGATGCATCGGGTCGTGCTTGCTTTCTCACTTGCATTCCATCAATGGTCGTGGGTTGATACTGACAAATTCCTGTCAGCTATTCTGTTTTGGTATGCACGTGTCTCGGCTTGGCTAGAAGTCCTACGTCACTCAGGAGTAGCAGTCCAATGTGTCACACCAGAGTGTGTCCTTTTCTTCTACGTGCTTGACAACTCTTGGTTCTCACATGTCCACCATATATGTCTGGTGTGTCCTTTTGTCTACTACAGTGGAGTGCCGGCAAATATTCTTCAGGGCTATGAGCCCTCGCTTAACGTTGCAGACCCGCTATTCGACTCGCGCTTGTTCTTACCTCTCACTGCAACTGGAGATCAGGACGATTCGGCGGTGTTTCCGTTCGATGAGAATGAACTGGATAGTGCTGATTTCAACTTTGCCATGGACTTCAACAGCGAATGCTTGGCAGACATGTTCACGTGACCTATGGCATGGCATGCAGTGCTGTGATCATGCACGCATAGTTGCATTGCAGTTTTAGATATCCCCGGATGATACACACCACACCACGCACCACACACCACCTAGCTAGTGAATCAGGTTTTAAACGCCCATGCCATCGTGAGCAGTACACGGCGGCGCTCTTCGAGACGCGCTCGAGGATTCCCAGCAGGCTGGTCCCGCGTGTGCCGTGTTCAGATGTGCAATGCTACATCCCTGCAGTAGGCAGGCTGGACATACTCTCTCTTCCCCCCCTTTCCCTATTGTTCATAGTTGTGAAGAAAAAACCTACTACTCGAGTGTACATAAACAAAGCGATTTTATTAGCTAGCGATGAAGTGCTACCATTTGAAACAATTTCTTGTGTTCCTGAACTTAAAAAGTCTCGTCATGGGTGTTTGTATCAGCACCGCATGAGCCTGGCAGCTCACGTACTACCTATTGCTCTATTATCAGTTGTTACTCTGAATAGTCTCCCACTCTCCCTGACCCGCAAGCTTTTGTTGCGCTCAAGCCAAGGCTGGCGCTTCCCTTTACTACTGGCGTTTTCTTCCAATACTATCAACTTAATAACAGCATCATCATCCTCATCATCAGCGCAATCTTTATTATTATTATTATCCTACCATATCACACCGACTTGTCCGTGCTTTCTACAATAGTGCTAGACTGCTACTCATTGTGCTACTCACTGTGTTGATTGCCTGCTTCACTCCCTTGCCTTTGTGTTCCGATCATTTTGTTGCTTTTTTTTAGAATATAGGTTTTCTTGAAAATTAATTAAAGAAATCAGCATCATCATGATTGTTTGAAATGAGATACCGGTAACGTTAGAACCGACTACACAGACAGCTGTACAAGCAACAGCACATTCTTCGAAGTGACAGAAGCACGGAGACAAAGACAAGTGCTCCGTCTTCGAACTGGGCAGTCTGCACTGGGGAGAACAGTCAGTGCATGTACCGGTCCGGTATGTAGTCGACCTGACCAAGAACTAGTTACTTGAAAAAGTACTACTATGTACTTCGAAGCTGAATACAAGAATGTGAGCTGCATTTGCCCTGGTTTCGAGCAGTGGCAAAAGTAAAACCGGTTTGTACCCTTTTTCGAGCTAGGAGTCGTGAAACTACAGTGTACTTTGCATGAAAACCTCGGTTTTCACGACTCGTTTTGTTCATTCACCATGCGCATTCACCATAGTCACGTGACAAACAGCTGCTGTTGCCTAGACTACACGCATGCATGGCCGTGAGCTGAAAACATGCTGAGCAGTACTACTGCACTCTGATATGCAGTGCATGTTGAGAGTTTTTTTGGCTTTCCGTTTTGTTTCTTCCAAGCTTGCCTTTCCATATTTTGGGGAGTGAGGTCAGCAATCAGTTTTTTTTAGAAACATTGGAGTTTGTCAGCTGACGGAATGGCGGCGGTTACTGGCTTAGCTCGATCTCTTCGCCCGGGTAAGTATAAGTAGAGAGGCGAGATGAGAAATTTCTCTTCTTCCAACTGCTGTATAAATTGGCTTCTGGTTGGACGCAGCATGCCGCCGGTACAGCGGTGTTTTCGCCCGTCAGGCTTCGTCTTATGAGGACACCAGGGGGAATCTTGGAATTAATTCCCAGACCAAAGTGATATGCCAGGGATTCACAGGAAAGCAGGTAAAGATGCGGTTTGGTCATACATTGTATCAGCGCTGCACGACTGACCTCGTCTTGCTGATGACGGATTAAAATTTGAATTTCTCAGTTGTTGAAGGCGTGATCACATAATGTGTAACTCTGCATTCAAACTACAAACATGACGATGATGATTGCACCAGTATACACAATCATGTTCGACGAGTACTGCTTGCTGGTCATGTACTGTACCAGGGTACCAGAACTGAAGGGTATTGTCATCAGGGAGACGTCAGATGAACATCAGTGAGAATGATCTAACTGGTGCATCAGAAATAGGGGCAAATACCAGTAGATGACTTGTACGTCTATTTCCTATGCACTGTACTATGGTGACTATACACGCAGTAAGCATGGTTGCACATACCACTCAAACAGTAATCCTCTGTGATTAGTGTGGTGTGCTACGGTTTACACTGTACTGTGCAGTCTGTCTCCAGCTGTAGTACAAGTGAGGCTACTCCCACAGGTGTGCCTGTGCTTCAGGTCTGTGTCCTACCCCGGTGTGATTGTACTAGCTCCAAGAGTCTACAGCCTCGAGTATTCAACTCGTGCTAACTTATAATTGCTTAGCGAAATGACGATCAAGCAGACTGGATTTGAATTTCCTACGATTTAGTCACAACAATGTGCGTGATACGGTGCATTCGAAAGCAGGCAATGTCTGGACATGAAGTACACACACATGCACACGCACACCGTTCGGAATCTCTGAGAAATTTATACTTGAAAGCTGGAAACCGTAGGAGATCGTTAGCGAAGCCACGACCCCGCTGATTCGCCAGTGGATGGCTATGACGTATCGTGGGAAGCGCGCTTCTCCGGCCTCCGCGTGTAGAGCTGCATATTCTCTGAGTTTGTGGACTCTTGTTAGTATGGCTGCGTGGAGTCTGTGCACACAATGGCTTCACTGGTCCAGGGTGAAAACCCTGCTCTGTCTGATGTGTAGTATTGTAAGGGTCATTGCAAGAAGCGTTGTCGTCCCTAAAACTCACTCATCATGCAACATTCCTCCCTACCCGTACGTGGGACAAACGGTTCCATGGAGGACACATTCCTTCCCATATCCATTCACTACGTGCAGTCTACTTATGTACGCGCATCATTCCTACCCATCGAAACGAACTGCCGTGTGTATATCTAAGAAATAGCGGATAACCTTTACTTGGTGCTGTACCCCTAAGGGTATCTCCGAGTTCTTAGGGTATGAGGTCTAGGTCAAGGGCAGCAGTGTTCATTGACTACATGTTGGCATAAGTTAGGTGGCTGACGCGTGCAGAATGTTTCGGCTTGACCTGGCCGAGTCCCAAGCCATGGACGCTACTCGTACTCCCTGACGAACATGCACTAATGTAGCTCTCCTCCATCTTGTTTCATGGTGCGCCCGTGTGATGCAGTCAGTGTCTTCGGCGGCCATTGCCCTGTGAGCTGCAGGGTTTGTAGCACTTTAGAGCGGTGTGTACAGTACCACTCTGTGTTCTGTTGTTGGTGAGGTTATTTTTGTAATATTTTCTCATCTTTTGCACGTTGTGTGCATGCGTAATGGTATGAATTGCGATCATACTATTTGCAGGGAACTATCCACAGCGAGCAGTCCATTGCCTATGGCACACGGATGGTCGGTGGTGTCTCACCGAAGAAGGCCGGTTCGACACATCTTGACCTGCCTGTCTTTGCTTCAGTCCAAGAGGTACAGTAGCTGTGTATCACATTGCTGGCAGTATTTATGCTAACTATTAGGCCATCATTTTTTATATCTATGTTTCGCGTCAGTTCAACTACCAGAATCATATGCGAGAGGTGGAAAAAAATAAAAAAAGTTGCAAAATAATTAAAAGGCTCATCACAGGTGTATGCACTGTACATAGCACTATAGCTCGTGCATGGTGTAAATTCGAAAGAAAAATCGTACATCGAAGCACAACATCTGGGTTATCAGCATGAGTAAATATTCACTTTAGACAGAGGAGGCAACCGTTGGTGCCTATGCTTCGCTAGATTATTGTACTCAGACTTCAGCAGCGGTGCAAAGACCTCCGGAACGATGCATCCTCTCAGGTTGAGGCGATCAATGCAGTCTGGTGTAAGCTCATAGAATATTGCTCCCAGATGCCGAACAAACGATTTACCAACGCTGGCCGAGGGGCCATTTCTGAATCCAAGCTTCGCCGTATGCAACCAGTCCACACTGATGATTCGCACGATTGTACACTCACTGTGCATGTTCGATTTTTTTTATTTTTTTCCGAAAAAAATCAAAACGTATGCGTGCGGACGACGCGAAACATAGCTATAAAAAATGATGGCCTTACATCATAGACTTAGTGACATACTGTACACGGAATGCTGTTCTTTAGGATGGAGAACGCATTGGAATGCCTCTGGGGAAGCGATGCTGTACTGCCTACAGTGTCTGGTAGTTAATGGGAGGGGCTCTCAGAATTGCATGTTTAGCACAGTTGTTGTATACATTCATCACTTTGTGCCTGGTGACCAACTTCTTCAATCCAGTCAGATGTGGCTTATCAACATTAGGCCTTCTCATTATTTTGCTTTTGCTGCTGCTGCTCCTGCTGTTGCTACTGTCATTGTTATGATGCAGGCCAAGGCAGCCACTGGAGCTGATGCATCTGTGATTTACGTTCCACCGCCGTTTGCCGCTGCCGCTATTCTTGAAGCCATTGAGGCCGAGATTGGCTTGGCCGTGTGCATTACTGAGGGTATCCCCCAGCAAGACATGGTCAAAGTAAGTGTCAGGGCAGACCTACAACTGCATGTACAGTCGGGGTCAAAGAAATGCAACCCTCTTCGGGGTATCGCACTGCGTCCAGGACCATCTACAGCGTCACGCTACATGCATGTTCACATAAAACACATTCACTAGTGCGTTTGTTCATGCAGCCGTGTGATGCGGAAAGTTGAATTTCTTGGGCCGTTACTGTACTTCAACTAATAATACATGGCACTAGTAGACGGTGAAAAGGATATGAAACAAAGATGGTAGTTTGTTCTTGCCAGCAGTTAATGTTACAGAGTTTTACTATTACTCTTGAGATCTCACTCTGCCACATGACTCGATGCTCTTTTGCTGACTCACGCAGCTTACGAGCATTGCCGTGACATGGACAAGTTCATTGAAACTACTGTTTGTTCACATTGTCCATACAACCAAGCAGCTGTTCCGATCTTTCAGAGCTCCTCTTGGTCTATCTAAGTGTCACCAGGGGTTGACAACACTGGCTCTGAAGGGTTCTCTGTCCTGTGTCAGGTGTCACAGCTCTTCACATGATGGCTGCCCAGTGTACGTGTATGTGTTGATGGTTGTTCAGGGCACATCTACGTATTGATGTTAGTCATCCACCTGTGTTGTTGCCGGCCTCACACCCACTTCCCTGGCATTCTCTCAGTCAGAGACTCCTTGAATAAACGTTAGGAGGCTTTGCTTGGCAGAATGCTAGGGAAGCAGGCACGAGCATCTTCGATAGTGATCCCTATTACTACTGTTTTCAATTTTGAAGTAGAGACTGAATTGTATAAGTCTGTCCAGGTGTGTTAACGTTTTGGCATGTTTGATCGCATTTGTGCGTGTGTCTGTAAACGCAGGTAAAGCATGCACTCGTGCGTCAGAACAAGACCAGACTGATTGGACCAAACTGCCCTGGTATTATCAAGGTGAGTTTCTCCCTTTCATCTTCTAGCCTTCTATGAGTAAGGCAGTGGGTCGAGAGGGGTCAATAGAGATGTGCATGTGTGTTGGCCGCAGTCCCACTGTTGCGTAGACATGGCTCTGTATCACTGTGCCAGAGAGAAATTTACCTGTTGGGTGGTGATGTAGTTGAGTGTTGCTCGCTCTCCTAGCGTATGTGTGTGTTTGTGTCTGTCGCTGTCATTGTGTGCATGTATTTATGCAGCCTGAGCAATGCAAGCTTGGTATCATGCCTGGTCACATCCACAAGTACGGATCAGTCGGTAAGTACCATGATCCACTGTCCTTAGCATTCATTGGCTTTGACTATCAGAAACCCTCTACAGTCCATTTCAAAACTGTAGACGCGTACCTAGGCAAAAACCGTTATGCCAGCATCTATACCACATAAAATCTGTGATCACTTTGTGCATAATTTTTTCCAAATTGGGCGTCTGTTATCCAATCGTTTAGAAACTATATGAGAGTAATTGTGGAGCGGACCTGAGCAATATTCCGAAAACTATTCTCAAAAAGTTCCAGCCAAATTTGAAATATTTCA